GGCACGGTAGAGCGAGCCGTTCGAGAAGCAAAATGCAAACACGCCGCATCTGCCTGTTCTGCATACGTACGTAAGCGTTCCGCAAATTTTCGTTCAAAGATTGACGCGCGCCGGAAACGAGATCTAGACCAAAACCAATTAATGTAAAATTATTTTCAGAATGCCCTGCCCGCGCAAAATTCACGGAGTTTCAGTAATGTTATTTAAACATTTTTTTTTTAAGTAGAAGACCGTCCAATTTTAAATAGAGCATTCTCCCAGTCTGTTCGTCATATTTAATAATAAAACGTTTTATTTCACATGACATTTATTCATTTCGCAAATTGTTGCAATAACTGTTTTATCTAAAAATTCTTGTATTTATTGTCATTTTTTATTTCGAAAGATAAAAATATCGGATTGCAGCATTTACGTTACGAACGTCTCCTCGGTTTTATTATCATTTTACGAAAATATTATAGCAAAAAAAATTATCGCTACTATCCTCGTCTCAATCGATGACGTGTAAATATTTATGTAAAAGATTATTTTTTAATCAGTTTCGAAACTCTTCGCAAACTGTCGACAATACCTATTTGTGACAAGACCAATTTTTCATTACTTTTCATATTTTCGGCATTTAGTGATTGGGAAATAATCTGTTAGCTATTAATAAACCTTCTCTCCTCCCTCTCCGATTTGAAATAAAAATTGAAGAATTTTGGAATTAAACTTAAATTTAATTATTATTTGTATGTTATATTATACATTTATATATAAATTACTACTTTTTTAAAAATTAATTTGCAACTAATGTATTATTAAATTATTATTTATGTATTATACAATTAATCTAACAATTTATTCTAAATTTTTAGTTTTCAGCAAAATTTGTGTATTAGTTATCTTTAATTGCCTTGTTTAAAAGTAATTTTATTTAATTAATATGTTTAATGTTTGATAATACCATTTTTATGAGAAGAACAAAATATGATTAGCGTAGAAACTTTGTTTTCTCACAGTTAGGCCCAGTTCTACAATGGTTCTTAACCGAGATTCAACTTATTCATTGTCTCTTTCCAATTTTAGAATTGGAAAAAGATGAGAAACAAGTTGAACCTCAGTTAAGAGTTAACCATAAGTTATGAACCTGGGCCTTAGATGCGATATTTGCTTTTCTTTCTTGTATTCTATATCGCACATAAGAGTCCGCGAAACGGAGAAATTAAATCGAGAGCTTGATAAGCGTAGTCGCAGTGATAATGATAGTCCCTACGTAGCGAAGCAGCATGGCTATCTCAGACGCAGCTGTATTTACGTAAACGATTGAAAATCGCATTGAGGAACTAGGCTTAGAATTCGAATTTATCAATCGTCACGAAGCCGTGTAGGTATTGATTATAAGAATTTCGATCTTAACTTGTGATTTTTCGGATACTCGCCCCACGCGAAACGCTTCGTTTCTTACGAAACGCTTACGCGAATTTAACGAGATAACAGGTACGATCAACAGGCCGTATCGCCCGAAGACTTTATAAAAAAAGAACAGTGAAGTCGTTAATTAGATCGGCAAAATGACGTCATTGCGAGAACTAAAAAAGCTGTCTCGAACAATAATTGCGAGGGGAAATCACGAGGAAGAATCATGTACTAAATTATACGAAATCAAATTATAGAAACAAACGTATTACGATATTAGACAGTATTATAGATTTGCTTGCGATATCTCGTGATTTTTTATTTTATCATTGAGATTAGGTATATTCAGAATAACGATCATGTAACTTTTTCTGTAAGACAGAAACGTGAAAAATGCAATGTTTTTTTATTACCTTCAATGATAAAACTTTTTACTTTTTTATATTTTCGGCGAAAAAGTTACATGATCGCAACCAGATGATAAAAAAATTGTTTACGACTTTAAACGTACGATATTATTCATACGAAATTATGTATAATTTATACAAAATATAAATATCCATAAGAACAACTCACAAGTATTTTATAGAGTTTTAATAATAAATATATTTTATTTACTGTATTTGTTTTTTCGACATTATTAACATATGGTAATCGTGTCGCATAAATAATTAAAAAAAAAAAATTTTGATTTGGCATTTAACGCGTTTCAAACTTTCCGGTTCAATCGAAGAAGCATTGCCTGCAATATAATTCCGATGCCGGTGTCTTCGATATTCACACATACACGTGAATTTTTTTATCTAATTCGATCACGATATTGTCGATATCAAAGATTAAAGCCCCCAGTTTAAAGAATTACGCATCGCGACGTAGGATTGTTCACCAAGAAAAAATTCTGAAATCTTCATTACTGATATCGCAAAATTTGTCCTTGGATTACTGGGATTGACACGTTTCGATTGTATATCAAATTAGCGACGATCCCTCGGCCGTTCATTGATCTCGCAAACAACTTGGCCGTCTTATCAGCGAACGTGCATGTCTTCGTCTTGGTGCGTGTTTCCACTGCCGAGACTTGTCAGCGTCGTGAAAATACTCTCGGAAGATGCGATAATAGGTAGTGAATAGTTTGGTTGCAACGGTGGGTCGACAAGCGTGAAAAATCGAAGGCCGGTCGACTCACGGCCGGCTTATCACAGGCCAGATACGTTACTTGCCGTATGTTTACCGCAGTTGCGCGTGACGTCCGATTTCACGACTTGGATAAGGGGATCCACGAAATACAGATTGTTATGTTCAGACCGCTAAAAAGACTGCCGAAATCATCAAATTTATTCGCGTCTGAGATCTGCACGCGGCGACGGGAAAGACGTGAGAGTGTGTCGTTTTGTTGCGACCATCGGAATTGTCCTTGACATTTTGCACGTTGTGATTGCATGATAATGAAATTAAATTGTTCTCAACCGAGTGCGAAGTGCCCGTCGTACTCGAACGGGAGAGTCGGCTGAATCTCGTCGTCGGATACTTTGTGAGCACCAGTGTGTCACTGAACCTGATCTGACACGTGTACAGTTCTCGAGGCTGTTGCAAGCAACAGTTTACGGTGTTGCTTGCAAGAGAATTTTTTTCTCACAAGCCCTCATTCTTGACGACAGTGTCGATGGCGTTGTATTATCGTTGTGCAGTTTTTTTTTTACTACGCATAAAACTTGTTCAACGACAATGAAAGGATCTCGTTAGTCGTTAAGAAATTACAGAACAGGGACCTAACCGTTTTTAAGACCTTTCGCGTTCACATACAGCACAAATTTACAGTAACGTTTATAATATTACTGTAATACTAGAACGTTGTAATGTTGCAGCAATATTAGTGGCTATGATCTGCTGTATGGATTAAGATAGACGTATCAATTAGTAAACGCATAATTAGCAGATCCAATTATTAAACGAAATGACAAAAATTTTAAATAATAATAATTTAAAATATTAATTTAAATATTAAAATTTTAAATATTAATAAATTTTTCATAAATATGTAACTCTCTAAATAAATTTGTTATTAAATTTTTATAAACATTTATTTTAAAAACGATTTATTTAAAGTCGTACATATCATTGAAAGGTTAAAATTTTTGTCGTTTCGTCCAATAATTGAGTCATGTTCACTAATTAATTTACCTTACATCGCATCGTTATATATTGCAATTATGAATGTAGGTGTCTGTAATCGCGCTTTCACATTTTCATCCATTTTTGCCATCGAGCACATCGAGATTGTACGTAATATCGCAGCTGTGATAAGCGCGTTCGTTAACGCGGAACGATAACCGGCCGGTCTCTTCTTGCAGCGCGGCATATAATTTATAAAAAAAAAAAAAAAAAAAAAAAGCGCCACGACTTCGTGATAAAGCGGTTGATCGGCTCCGGTTTCTTTTTGAAAGCAGAGATTTATTTTAAGAGCATGAAAGTTCTGCGCCGACCGAACCGGTGGGTGACGGGGCGCAAGGGAGCGGTTTGAAAATAAAATCGAATCCACAGACACGCGGGCGATATGGCAAGATCATAACTTTCTCCGAATGGTTCTCCGAGGTTCTTGCGAAACTTCGTACCGGTCTGCACACGCTGCCGGCTCGGCGCTCTCCGAATGAAAAATGTATACGAGCCTTTAATATCGGCAACGTGCGTAACGAAAAAGAGTACGCGGATAATATCTCCGTGCCGGAGAGAACAAGCGCCGATATATTCACGAACGTTACGCGCACGCGTAATATCGCGCCCGCTATTTGTAATTGCATTTCGCACACGTGCTCGTAAATCGTCCGTTTAAATGATAATCTTCGGAAAACGAATGTGGATCAAAGTTACGATGGATACTGCGATCCTTGATTGTTGATTCTGAGATATAGAGATGCGACGACGATATAATAACGATGTCCATATAAAAATACGCGGAAAAATACACGCGAGTCTTACTCATGTCGTTCTGAGAATCAATTGCCAATGAGGAGATCGTGATTCTTATAAAATTGAAATCCGCGAGGTTTCAGTGACGTGTCGAGTGTGGCCGAGTGAACGATTATGACGTAATGCAGCACATGGTGCAATAAATGATAATCATTCATTGATTAAATGAATAACTAAGTACTGTTTAATTGGATAGTTTCAGAATTGTTTGAAAAAAGATCGAGATCGAAATAATTGTAGCAATTATTTGTAATTAATTGTAGCGAATCGGTTGTGATAGGACGGTTTCCATCGGACAGATATCGAATCGAGCTTCAACGAGTCGCTTTCATCGCACATAATGTTCTTCTCTTTTTTTTTCCTTTTTATCAGAGAAGTCTCGCGTCGAGAAAAGGCCGGTTCTCTCAGCACGAGTGCCTTTTACAAGAGTTTTCAGGTGTATGTGTTTAGTCATCGGGACATTATATATGTATATATCCGCAAGCCCGAGTTACGCGACTTTCACTCTGAAATGTCAACTGCTGTTTCACTTTTCAGTTCCCCCACCGTGCGAGCATCGATCAATCTGATTACGCACAACAAAGGGACGACTGTTGTAAAGCGATTTACGATTTCTCTCTCTGTATCTGTTTCAGGTGGCAAATACGACAGCCGCGTGCGTACGACGATCACGGAACGGACTCGTAATGGGAGGAAAGCGGACGGATTATGACGCGAAAGGAGAAACTCGCGGAGACCCGGCTTGCGTCTTGTGCACGATTTATATTGATATTTTTATCCTGTAATATTATCCAAAAATTATCGGAGAAAGGAACGATCTGCGAAGACTTCTTAGTGAAGCAGCAAACCATTTTACCGCAATACTTGTACTATGGATAGGAATAATGAGAAAATATTGTATGCACATGATACATTAGATTTAAAAAATAGCCAGCGTAAAGGATGAATGGATATGTGTGAGATAAAATGAATGAGATAAAAAAATGTGAACAAAGTCCCTTTCTTGGCTTGTAATACTGAAGGTAATAAAGATTCTATTCTCTCTATTTTATTTATATTACGAAAATATTACGAATTATAATATTTATATTTTAATATTACACATTTACATATTATAAATTGTATTGTATTTTAATATTTTAGATTAAATATTTTAATATATTACATAATTTTTATTATAATACTAATATTCTTTCTACAATATTTTTATTATTCCTAAATTAATGTTTGGAGCATTTTGTAGGAATATAAAGGAATTTAGCACAATACTTAAAGTCTGAAAATATAACAATCAACCTTATTCTGGCTGTCGTATCGAAAGGTCAAGTCATCGATTTCGAAGGAGATCTCGCCGTTGCGTTCAAGAGGATCTTGGCGCGGACATTCTCTTTGGTTATCTAGCTGTATGAGTTTTATCCGACATCATAAAGCTAGGTTACCGGAGTTAAGCTCCTCGCCATATCAACTCCAGCGATCTTCCCTTTATGCGTTCCTCTACGCTTCAGCGAAAATAAAGCACCGAGACCCCGAATACTGTTACACTCGACGTGTCCTGGGATGTCTCGTCGCGGACGCATCGACTTATCGGAATAACAAAGACGCGGCCGGACGGGAAAAAAAAGGAAGATTCGAATTTGCGATAAATACGTTAACATCTTCAGCAGCAGTGCGATTCGACGGTAATTTGTACATCGAGATAATTATATTTGAGCACCGATTCTTTCGCATCGAATAAAGCAGTGTACGTCCCCGAAATCATTCCTCTCCCACGTTCTCGAATAGGAAGGATCTATATAGGTATTGTCGAGCATGGAATTTACAGCCGTTGGGCCCTTTACAATGGGTCGAGTGTTCTGGTATGAGAACCCGGGTAAACACCCGGGATCCATAAAGAGGTAAGCGACACTCGCTGGTCCCGCAATCGCGACGCGCGAATGCGAATGTCGTCTAGCTGTTGTACGACTCTCTCTCTCTGTATTCCCCTCGTGCTCTCGCGAAACTACGAGCTGGGCATTTGTAATTGTTGTTAGTGCCAGTTGCTCGTGACCGGCCTGTCGAGAGAAGGAAGGAAGGAGAAGAATTTTTCAAACATGCGCACGTTATTTCGCACCTACATCACGCGGTCATCACGTGGCTGCAGACAATTTCTGCAGTCACGATAATCGCTTTAGAGAAAGTCACGATATCGCGTCGGAACCGTAGCAAAATGGGATGGGATGTCCCAATTTCGAGATTCAAGCTGAATCCGGAGGTATCGTCGATACTATGACTAGAAGAAAATCGATTTTAAATTCGTCGAACGATCCGCGATTGAAATTCAACATTGAATGGAGTGGTCTGTAATACAAAACTGTAGTTTCCATTGACATTTCAATTTTGCTGCAATAGTCGAGTTTTATTTTCGAAACAATTTAATTTCTTATTAGCTTCAAAATGATATTTTTCTTAATTATTATATTTATTCATAACTGCGAATTGTTACATCATTGTTATTTATGATGTAATTGCTTTATTATTATTATTATTGTTATTATTATTATTACTGCGATATAGGTGCGATTTCTGTAACAGTTTCATGTTAGACAGCTGATTTTATTTCAATACTGATCAACTTTTTGCAGAAGTGCAAAGATTCGTGTATGACATTAACGTAACGTAGTTCTCGACTCGAGAAAGGAACGAGTTGTTTCATTAAACACACACTGTGCCTATGAAACGTTACATTTTAAGTGTGTGCCGACACGGTGCGTGACGACGATGGTTCCCACAATAAAGAAGCCAGGATATGTTTACCAATTATACATATGTATATGCGACCACAGGAACGAACACGTCCGGCGTGATATTGCACGAAAAACTACGGGCTTTTGTTTAAATTGTACATAGAAATTGAAATGATATCGTAAAAACCGAGGTAGAAGTCCATTGATTCTCTATGAAATACAGAATATCCGAAAGCGCGACGAATGGCAACCGAACGAATTTTTCCTCTTTCTTATTACGTCGATTTTTACAAACACATGTAATAATTATATTGATAACAACGTGTAATAAAAATTCTTTACACACGAAAAAATCGGTATGTCTGTAAAAGTGTATAGAAATAAAATCTAGTGTAGAAATTTGTACTGAGATTAAATTATTTATGTATATTTTATGTATATTTGAAGATTAGAAGAAGTCGCTTTGGGCTGCGCGGTGCAAACTGAAATAATATATGTAAAATTAGTTGTTAAATCCGAAAATAAAATTAAAACCATTGAAGGAGAACAAAAAAGAAATGATGCATTTAAGAAAAAAATGACTCAAATTTCTCCATTTTTCGGCCTTCCTATGATTTTCTTTATGAATTAATGAAAAAGATGTGATACTTAATTACTTTTTAACATGTTCCGTGCCGCGTGATTTACGCAAAACTTTCCGTTTAGATCGCAAGATATTTTGGCTATAAAAATACATATAATCATAAGATACTTTTAAATAACATGCATATATATATTATTATGACGTATGTAATATTAATACCATTGATCACCGGTAACTTATATGGTTCTGCGATTAGTTTTACAATATCAAATACTTATCTATTAATCATAATCTTTAATTTCTTTATATGAAAGTTATAGAAAAATTATTAACATGCTAGACATAAATGAAGCAAGAAATTGCACGATTGCATTTTGTAGCGAAACTGTCCTAACAAACCTTATTTATGTTCTGTTTCAATACAAAACATCGATATATGTGTCACTAATTTAATTATAAAATGTTTATTAATTACATAATTATTAATAAATATTCTATTATATAAAATGTCTATTAATTTGAGACAATGTTTAATCCAGCCAATCGATGAATTTAAAAAAAGAAGCGGTGTCATTTAACCACCATCATTTAGCTACCAGCGAAGAGGTATTGGCGATCTTATAATTGTGTCCAATTGATGGTACAGCACAGAGAGAATGCACGACATTTCGATGTCGGAAAAGGATGTCAGAAAGAAAATTGCAAGAATTTTATAAAACTTTGAAAGATCAAGTTGCCATGCATCACAATGACTCTTCGAAATGTAGGGTCATTATACACGTCCTGATTACGAGGCTAGCTTCTTTTTTTGATAATCTTATTATTATCCTATTTCGATTTGTATATACATTAAGTGCAAAAAATATTCGGGAAAATTTTTATAAAAAAAGCTTATATTGTATATTTGTAGAAAATAAATTAATTAGCAATTTTATACATCAAATGCATTCTATTCTAATATAAACAAATGAGTTTCACACACATGTGTTCTTGATCTTAAAAATTAAATTTTTCGATTGTATATTTTTTGCATCCAAATAATATGCATTTTAATTTTTGCTTATTTTTAAGGTAATATATTTTATTTAATTAGTACACATCTTTTTGGTATACGTATATAATTTTGAGAAATATACAATTTATTTTATTATTTATGAATAAATTGCTAATTATCTAGTAACAAATAATCGTCAATTATATGTCGAATTGGTGTCGATATCAATTCGATGAGTCATTTCTCGCTGGTTAATACTTACTCTTCAAAAATAAGATTTTCTAAAAATATATTTTTCCTATACAAAGTTTTTGCACTTATTGTATGTATTAATTTATTTTTAAATTTGTTCCTAAAAATAGGATACAATTTTATATTACATAAACTTACTGTGTCAAATGAAAGTTACTTTTCAAATGAAAATAATCGTTTTTAAAATCGAAAAGTGATGTAAATAAATGATATAAATAAATCGTAGCATATGAAATGAAGATCAAGATCTTTTGATTATTAATCCGCTTTTATACAAAGTCACGCATCAATCATGTCTATTCAATTTTATTAAATGTTAGTTATATTTAAAAAAATATTTAATAAAAATAGATTTTTTTTGCTTTATTCAGCGTTGCATTTTGTATCTTTTTTTTATAATAATATTTTTGTATTTTTTAATCATTATGCAATATATTTTATTTCACAAAGAGAATGACCATAATACGTGAGTTAACTCGCACAGCTTAATACATAAATTGTCAATTATTTAATCGATATAGAACATGTTAAAAAAATTGGAAAATTGAATGATTTTTTATTACAAATGCATTTTTTTTTATTATTTTGCTCTTCTTCAATGATTTTAATTTTACCATTTTCGCATTCAAGCAACCAGTTTTACAAGAAAACGCATGATTTTTAGATAATCGAAAAATTTCATCTAACGCAGGTAAGTAATTTATAAATTTCACATATGCATAAAAAATACAAATGATGGAACGTATTTTTATGTTAGATTTCAACTCTGTTTATATTATACTTTTATATTATATTATACTGATAAATCGATTTTTTTCGTGTGTAAAAAAATTATGTTTTATTGCACGATGTTATTAATATAATTATCACATATATAAAATACATATTAATAAAAATAAACATGATAAAAAAAATTTGATTGCTATAGCTCGCGTCTTTGGCATTCCGTATTTTACAAAGAAAATTAAAGAGTTTTATTTCAGTTTCAATTTTTAAACAAAAGCGAATAATTTTTTTTGCAATATCGTCAGATACAACATGTTCGAAAGAAAATGCTGCCGCATGTGTAATTTCGCCGCAGAAAAGATTTTACATATTAATTCTAATTAATATATGAGTGTTTCTTTTTTCCTTTTATAGAGTCAAAACTTAGTAGAAATAGAGCAACAGATTTAAAAAAATGAAAGTTGCAGCAAAAATAAATATTAATAATTAAATAACTATCTCTGTACATTTTTAATTTATTTAATTCTTTATAAAATCAATAAACATTTATAAACATTTATAATAATTTTGCATTAAAGAATAATTATTTGTAATATGTAAAAATATCTAATTTTCTGTCTCTTCTATTATACTGGTGAAAGTTTCTTATATTGATACCAACTACAGAGGGCAGCATTTTATAGTGTTGTAGTAAGATAAGTTTATCAAAGTTTCTTATTTATAAAATGCTTTCGCCCAATATTATTAGAAAATCTACATCATATTTTTTTTCTAACACAGGCCGACATGAATTTTGATCTAGAAACGGCAATATATAATCCCGAAGATTTTTGGCATGCTAAAATCAAGCCAAAATTGCTGCATCAGGTTTATTTTAATCTAAAGATATTTTAATCTAAAAATACCCGAAATAGGCTTTTTTGGCACTTTTGGATTACAATATCTCAGAAACTTAACGTAGAGCAATTTTGGCTACGGATTTGGTTTTAGCATGCCAAAAACCTTCGGGATTACATACTGCCATTTCTGGATAAAAAAAAATATTTAAAATATTTAAAAATATTAAAAAAATATATTGTTAAAAATATATTGCCTGTGTAATTAATCAGTATATTAACTCAAAGGTATTATATCTATGGTTCGAAAACATAAACATGCTTTTATATCTGTTCCACATCTCTCATCTCGTTTTTTCTTTATAAAGGAAGCAATTCGCTATTTGAGGTATCAAAAGTTTCCGGATCAAAAGTTTTCTATAAAAAATTTTAAACTTACCCTATTTACAATTAATCTCCATCCCCTTCGAAGTAGTCCCCTTATGATTTGATACAATAACCTCAACGCTTCAGTTATACTTCACACGCTCTCTGGAAGTCTTTTTTTTCTGTAGCCCTTTTTTCTGTAGCCCTTCAAGCACTGCTTGCCATTTGGCCTCAATCTTCTGTACCGTCTCCAAACGTTGCCCTTTGAATTTCATTTTTGTATGAGAACAAAAAGGTGTTATAAAGGGGTAAAAAGCTGAACGGAGGGTGCCAGACGATGGCGTGTTATTTGGCTGCCAAAAACTGTATTTCTAAGACCGAAGTTTCAAAACCCTGAGGATGAATTTGATAGCTATCCAAATAACGTTGAAATTCGTAAGGATTGATCTGAACCTTGCAGACTTCATATGAAATTTCAACAACATCGTAGCACGACAACCTTTTCTCATGAAAAATTTGTACATGTTACTTGTGAACTCATCGTCTTCGCAACTGAGTCTTTTTTAAAATATGAATCCATTTGAAACTAAAAGTACTATGAGTTTTTTCATTAAACTCTCTTACAAAAGATTTTAAGATTTTCGATGGCCGTCTTTCTTAGAATCACCAAAGAGAATCAGTTTCGAAACAGTGCATCGAATCCGTCTCTCTGTGTAGGTGTTACTTACAAAAAAAAGAATTTTAAAAAATGTTTAAAGCATGGCAGAAACATTAAGTTTCTGATTAAGGAGCCGATTCTGTAATGAGTCTTCTATAATAAGCCATTAATTATAAATCAAAAATTAGAAACTAAAAATTGACCAATCACAATCGTCAATTTTTAACTTCTGACTTCTGATTTATGACTAATGTTTATTGTAGAAGGCCCATAACTCTTAATGACAGTCGTTGATGTCATCGCGCAGCTTTTTTACTCTACATAATATTTGCGCAATGACATCAATGATTGTCATTAAGAGTTATGCGGGGTCTACAATAGTATTATCGTAGAGTTTTAAGTCATGGAAAATTAACCAATCACAATCGAATATGAGAAGAATAATCGACTATGATTGGTCAATTTTTTATGACTTAAGATCCTACTATGACTTTTATTGTAGATTCCGCATTTCAGAATCGGCCCCTAATAATGTTTTTTACTGGCAAAGCTGCAGTTTTGCGCATTCAGTGCACTTCAAAGTCGTTGTACACAAATCAACGTAAAGATGTACATTTAATAAAAATGTATAAACGAATTAAATCGCGAAATCCTCAATACATTTCATTGTACTATTTGATAAAATATACATTGGATATTTTATTAATTAGAGATAGCTCACTTTTATTCAGATTTTATTAGATTAGTGTACAGCAGCTTTAATGTGCACTGAGTGCGTACCAATTTTGCCAGTGAAAAACGCTATAAGTTTCCACTAAGTTTCCGAGAGTTTGAATCGGGTCAGAATGCAAAAATCAACTCATTAATGAGAGGGGAATACTCGACTGTAGTTGATTGGTTCTTGCATTCATACTCTCGCCTCGGTGGAAATTTAGTCACTGGCGTCTCTGCAAATTATTTTTATCTTGAAGACGGAGGAGAATCTAAAATTTTATATCATTAAAATTACAATTTTTATTAGAATCTAAGTCTGGAAAATTTTTGATACCTTGTATACTTACGCCAGTCATTACAAATTTTATATATATATATATACGAATTTTTAATATTTTTTTTCAGTATCTATTAATACACTACATATAATATTATAAATATTTATAACAACAAAAAACATTTTGTATTTGTTGATTTTTGTAACTATTAGAAACAGTTTACACAAATCCTTGTTAAGAATTTGTGTCCTTGTTAAAAATGAATGATCATGCGTTTTCGGATATGTATGTTTTAAATGTGCAAACCCATAGTCTCATGTCAATAAAAAAGATGTAAATTCGTTAATCCTGAAATTTCAGAGATTTTCCAGTTTTCTAGGATTAAATTCCAGGATAATTCCAAGATCCAAGGACATTCAAAGATTGCTGGACACCCTGCAATATTTATTATATATAATATAAAATAATTATAATACAATAATTGCAATTCAATTCATGATTATTCATACAATAATAATTCATATACACGTAATTTTGTCATTCCTGCAAGTCTTACTTTTTAATTCATATTTATCATAGTATTACCTGTATTGAATAAAATAAAATCAATATTAATATATTTTTATCATTACTAATTATTATTAATGTAACATTATAATATGTAACTACACTAACAATACGTAGAAAAGAAACGAATCCAATATATTGAAGCGAAATGAAAAATAAAGAAAGATTCTATTTTCTAAGTTTTTTTATAATTTTAGTCAATATATTTATAACTAGTATTATTATAACTAGTACTATTATAATAAATCTAATTAGTATTATTATTTAGTTATAGTATTATTAGTATTTAGTTAGTATTATTATAATTAATCTATTTTATTTTCAAGTAAAATTGTTTTTTTGTTAATTATGTAAATATCTAACATAGCACGCAGCATCAAATAATATTACTTAATTGAAGGATAAAAAAATTAATAGATAATAAAAATAAAAAGACTGACCTCACGATTACGAATGTATTAAACAAAAAATATAAAAAAACATCAAAAAGTTTTTTAAATTCTGAATCATATATAATTGAATCTTTACAATTATTCAGTAAATTTATTCAACTAACAATAAGATTATAATAAATTATATATTTCATAAGAATAAAAAGTATATGCAAAAATTGAGTTTAAGAATATTCAAGTATCTCGAAATCTGGCGAAATTTTGACAGAGATTTAATCGCGTGAACACAAATTACATTTAATTCTATTATTTTCGCAGAAACATAAAAGTGTCAGAACGCAAGATTCTTATCTCATCTCTCTGTCGTGCAAGGTCTACACCGCTAAACATTTCCCTGAATCAGAACCTGAGATTCAGCAAAAAGGTGTGCCACTGTGCCAAAACGCCATCTGTACGTTACTGCGATGTATTGAGAGGACTAGAGGAACCCTTTTGCAGCGGACGAAATTAGTCGTGGGATATCACGCGGCTGTTCCTTACAGAAAAAAAATTATGATGGCAAGCAAGGCTTGGAAGGTCAGTACTGCAGATCCCCGCTGGAACCGGATCACTTCTACGGCATGACAACGCGCGGAAAGCGACTGTCATATTCCCGCGACTCGGCCACAGGTACTGACGTCGTCTTTTCGTAGGTAGTCCAGCCGCATGTGCCGATGATCAAGTTCCGCAAGGGTGGCATCGATCGCGCAGGTAACGTAGATAAAAATTAGTATAAACGATCGTCTCCTGCACGAAAAATAATCCCCGCCAACAAATCCATGATCCGTGTTGTTGGTTAACAGTTGCAGGCACGACAGCTGCGCCGTCTACGCGACCAGGGTCGGCGCAGATGCAGAAGAGCGCGGGTGGTGCGACGGGCCCCCAGGTGACCGTTCTACCGACGATAGAGGACATTCACTTGCCACTGCGATATCAGAGACGGCCGATAGATCAGAAGGAAATGGAATATATCAATGTAAGTTTCGACGATTATTTGAATTGCAAATTATATTATGTATAGTTTAATGCTAGCTTAATATTTATGATATATAATGTAATATAATTGTAATATATTATAAAAAAAAAATATATATATATATATATATATATAATTTTTTTGTATTTTATATTTTTTATAAGTTTTTTATTTTATTTTACATTGAATCTTGTGTACAGATACTTGCTTGTTGCTTATTTCAGCGTGGCGGACCAGAGTGAGTTTGCAAAGCAACTATTTAAAATACTGTAACTCTATATTTAGGTAATTAACTTTGTTATTGACCGATTCGGTGTAATGTATTATTAAAATAAATGGACGTGACAGAGAATTCCCGCGCTGTGAGTATAATTATTTCATATTTATACCAGTCACCTATCGGGCAAGGTCTCTTATGAGTTGTGACATTGCCAGGGGCCTGCTATTTTTGGCATAACTTTCAGCTCATTCCAATAACAGCCGATTCTTGTTAATCCGGGATCTACGACAATGAAATTCTAATTAAATATGTTATTTTGTAACTTTCTATTTGCGTTTCACACGGTTTAAGCGAGAAGATATTATTTCTCAATTTCTTTACACGATTTTCTGGGATATAAATACTGTGGGACCTAAAATAAATCACTATTCTTGATTGTTTTTGATTCATTTTTATTAACGAGACAGGGGTGTGCAATGACAGTCCAAAATCTGTGATTTAAAAGTCAGATTGAAAATGTTCTTCGCATCTGTGGGTGTAATGATTTTAAAAATAATATTATGTAATAAAAAAGTTTTTATGAAAGCTTATTTCTTTTTTTCTTATCTCTTACATCTAACGTAAATTTAAAAAAAAATTTACGTTTACTTGCTATTAATGTAACAATTATTAGTGTAACAATAGTATTAGCTTAATAATTACTGTAATCTTTTTGTATGTGTAAAGTATTGTCTTTAAACATTCAATTTCAAATAGTAATATCGAAAAAAAACTATCGAACTAAAAAATAAAACCTAAGTTGTACTAATTTTTTTATTAATTTATACATAATTTTATTAATTTATACATGATAAAACCTAAGGATGTGGATACGTAACTTTCCGTATTCTCATTGAAGGTCTTTTCAGCTCAAATAATAATAGCTTTAATTTTCCTTCAAAAATTACACTGCAAAATTAACTTTACTCAACTGAAGTAACATGTATCATTCGTAAAAGATGATATCAATAATTTAATATCAACAATTAGCGCCAAGATAATTTCCACAAAATTTTAATGCATTTCGTATAAAAGATTTGATTGGCGCAACAACTGGTGGTAAGTTAAATCCCACAAAAAAAATTTTATATATCATTCGTTTCAATGATCTTTTTTGCGTGGAACACAAGATTTTGTTGGAATAATTCGGAAAGTCACATTTGAAACTTTGGATGAAATGATGTATCGGGCAACAGCGTCTTGTTACGGCCCTGCTGCGATACGATAAAAATAGCAGACGACAGTGCGCTGCGACTGCGGCGGCGGGACTGATCTGTACGTGAACGCGGAGGAGGCGATCCGAGATCCGAGTAGTTTTATCGAAGTTTTCTCGAAGTGCGAAATTTTTACGAACGACAAACCCACTGCGAAAATGGCCGAGGTAACGGACTTCGGACCGAGAAAAACGTTTTTTATACTCGCGGTCGTGATCGGCTGTTTCACCGTGCTGTGGCCGAAAATTCTGCAACCTATGTTCATAGGATTTGTCATTCCACATCACTCTACATCAGACGGTAAGGCTCTAAGGTTCTACGCCCAAATCTGTTGACGACGTCAGAAAAGTCGCTGGAAATATCACATTATCAGAGAATGTTACACTTCTTATCTGTGTATACGAAATAATTTAAATTTGAATAAATAAGAATTATTTAAAAAAGATCATAGAATTGAATAGATAAGAATCATTTAAGTAAAAATTTTTTGAAATGATGTATTTTTATATTTTGTAAAATTATTGCTTATTGATTGATTTGAATGATAAAATTCACTGAAGGAATACTTTATTGTTCATATATTTATGCAGTGTGCTGCGAAGTGATATTCGAAAGCGATGTCACAGCAGTGGACATCATGCAAGAAATGTGTCAAAACATATTGAGACATCATCCAATTGATCCACGCGTGAGAGACGCCTTAAAACTTAGCAAGCTGACCCCTCAAACCGCGAGTTTGTGTAGAGAAGAGGTTCTAGCTAGATGTGGCATAGACTTGTCGTCTTTTCTTGCCGAAAGAGAAAGTTTGGGAAAAACCTATAAACAAGTGCTGGAGGAAATAAGATCATTCAATAGCTCCTTTTGCCTCAAAATGAATTTTGGTGTGCCACTGTCGCAATTAGGGACACCTCATCTTATTAGATATCATATCTTGATGCCACACAGTAAGAACTACAAGGATATATAAGAATTGAGCCTCACTAGCGAATTAATTTTGCCATATTATATTCAGATATAATTAACTAATTAACTTATAACTTTCCCTAATGTATTCTTAAAATTTGTGTTTGTAATTTTTATAACAGTTTAATATGATATGCTTTATTATGTGAATTAGTTGATTTTCACATTAATATTCTTTGATCATACATGGTAACTACATGGCTCATACATCGCTTATATAAAAAAGATAATCTTGGAGAATTATGTTTTAATCACATCATCAAATATATGTGGAAAAATGGATTTGAGTTGTGCTTTGGCTGAATGCCAAAAAAAATAAGTATAATGTTTGGCAGACAAGAAGCCTAGCCTCTATAGACAATTTCAAATATATCCATACTAATGATTTATTATGTTCCCCTTATCTCCTGGTTTTCAACACGTGTATTTTAAATTTGATTAAGATTACCCAGCCTAATACATTTGTAACAGTTTTCCTGATTTTTTAATTAATTATATATTGCTGCAATTAACACAAGACTCTACTAAACTCTAGAAGATCAATATAGAATAAATATGTTTTCGTGAATTGAGACAAATAGTATATATATTTTACAAGCAAGTTTTTTTATGTATGTACAGATGCTATACCACAAGAACGTCGTACTCCTCCTCATGCAGGGGGAATGCATCCTGCACTGAGAGAAAGGGGAAGAGCCATACCATCCTCTCATATTGTACCAAAGATAATCGACAGGCCACCGCCACCCGGCGAATTTATGCCAAAATTGCCAAAAATGAGGCCACCTCTCGGTGGTGCTGGTTATGTTGTTCCACCCAAAGGTTCCACCATCCTATCCAGCATGGGGATTGTTATGCCAATGTATACAATAGGAATAATCGTGTTTTTCATATATACCATTATTAGGGTAATGTATAAATTTGTAAAATAATTCTAACAAAATTTTGGAAACAATGAAGACTTAAAGTTTATATTGACAGATTCTTAGAAAGAATACCGATAGCGAGATTATTTCGGAATACCCAGGAGCAGCTGCTGAAAAGGAATTTCGAAGAAAGGTATTCAGCCCAGAAGCTCTTGCTGCTGCAATGACTGGAGGGCATTCCAAATTCCATTCAATCAATCCATATTATCTAAGAGAAAAGTCACCGTACAAGACTGCTCCAACTATTGAGGAATTAAACGATCGTAAGTGCTTTTACAAATATATTTACAATTATAAATCATATTTCATTTACATTATCATCAACGCAATGTTTTTATGAGGAGCTAATTCTTTCGGAGAAACTTAAGATATATGTATTTTCTTGAATATCTAAGACAGATTTTTAAATGGTGTTGCATGATGCAAGGTTTGCACAATTAGAACACACACGTATTTATACATGCGAATATACATTGCAAGATTCTGAATAAAAATGTGCATATGTGCAATTATTCGTACTTATATTCTGAACACGTTTGGTAATGTTCTACATGCTGGAACACAAGAAGCAGCAGGAGACATAGAGATAGATCAACTGAGACAACGATTGGTCGAGACGGAAGCAGCCATGGAAAGAATTGTTGTCCAGATGGGCAACATATCACGTTCAGTAAAGCATAACGCGAGCTCTCAGCCAGAAATCAAGGTTTATCAGATTAATTTTGACGCCATTCACAGTTTCAGTTTATTAGTCGTTAGAGAAATGTGCACGTCACTGTGTTCTGATTGCGTTACAAGCTTGATCCATCCAATGTACATTAAACATGTTGTACATTTAGTATAAGACCTTATCTTCAATATTTGGCTTTTTCAAATATCGATGCTTGCGGATAACTGTTGCAACATTACAAATTGTTGGTTTAAACGTTTATAATTTATATAAGATTCATATTGATGTGTACTAGTCGAGTACAATATTCAATACAAACATTTAAGTCAGAATATGCGTTCGATACCAGAATTCACATTGAATATTTTACATTTTGAGTAGTAGATGGGTCTCCAAAGTCCAATGGTCTGGCAGGGGTCGATCGCGGTTCTAAGGTATATCCCTTGCCTCAAAAAATATTTCTAACAAGAGTAACCAAGAGTTTGTGGACCACTTTCTATTTTCAGTGCACTAGTTTCACGAATAATGAATTTATCACATTAAATGTTTCTTAGACTTATATATGATAGTTTCATCATGACATGAATCTATAGTAACAGTATTTCAGTGTTTTAAGTGTAGAATGCCATTATTCTTTTATCTTTTATATAAGAAAAGACATACATGATTTGTCTCTATGCTAAATATTGTTGAAATATTAGTGAAACAGTAGTTGCTCCTCCCAGAGTTTTTCAATTACAAGTACTAATTGTGTGCCTTGCATGATATCCGCTTATTTTACATCTTGTTGATATAGCATATTGTAAAATATATAAAATAAAATTATACAATATATACGGATTTCTATGACATCTGTTGTGACTTGTACATATATGTAATTGTTTTTCTTTTTTCTTTCTTTTTTTTTCAAATAAACGTAAGAATTTTTAACATAGCACATTTTTTGAATCTTGAGGATTTTGTATATTAAAAATTGTATATATAAAATAGCTCTTACTTCACATTAATTAGCAAAATGGCTTTGATATTACTATATATGTGTTATTATAATATTTTTTTATTTAAAAGAGAAAGACGTATAAAATAAGAAGTAAATAATGACAAAGCAGCACATTAAGAATTTAATTTATAGGAGGACACTGCAGACCAGGAATCACATAGTAAGGAAGATGAAGAATTAGACATAACAGAACAATCTCCAACTGTTAAAGTTATGGGTATGGAAATGACAGCTAGTTGTGAAAGTGGGCAGAAATGTAGCAGACCCACCACTCCCATTATTCCTACACCAAGGTATTATTCCCTCTTTTAAATTTTTATCCATATTATTAGTATTTTCATGATTCATTGAATTTTATTATTTCTGTTTCAGTAACATTGAAAGAGAAAAAACGCCGCCAACACCTATATATTTAGAGGGTGCACTTCCACCGCAATGTGAATTACTAGTAACCGATTCAGAAACTCAAGCTGAAAAATCAGAGGACGATGACGACGCTCCAGTTGTTCTCTCAGGCAAAATGACTCTCTCTCTCATCAGTCTCGACCAGATTCCAGCTGTAAGGAAATATTAGAATTACCAACAGAATCAAATGAATCTGCGGAGCCTTGTTTTATTTGGTGATTCTTTCATTCATTTAATTGTTTGCCTAACTTCTGTATAGGTTACTTAATATAGAGATCACAAATCACAGGAACTAAATGCAGAACTAAGTGCAAAGAATGGTTTCTTGGCTATTACATGTATGGGTATGAGTGATGCGCTGATTTTATTGTTTATTATTTTTATCCCAATTCTCTGTGATTTGTTCGAAATATTAATAACTAGTGCCTTGTACTTCTTATGTTTCACTAATATCTTAATTTTAATATAAGATACACTGGCTTGTTAAAATACAAATTTAAGTTCTGTCAAAAGAATACCAGATGCTGAAATAGATTGCCAAATTTGAAGAGCGTATTCTGCAACTTGGCCATTTATTTCATGTAATCTATTACAGAGATAATTTATATTTTATTTAAAAAAATATGTAATTTACATTTATTTAATATTATTTATGTTCGTGTGTTCACACAAATTACTAAATATGAATTTGTTTTTAATTTTTATAATTTTGATAAGTTTATGAATTCTTATTTTATTTACTTAATTTTATGATACTAATAAGATAATATGTTATGCAAATTGCTTTTTGTAAAAAACAACACTATTTATTATTACATTCACATTAACATATTAATCCTTACAGCTATATAAATAATGATATATTTTATTATATTTGAGATATAATATACTACATTTAACATTGATATTAAAGGTTTAGCAATTACATGAAATGAGTCACATAATTTAATCGAATTATATTTTTTTGCAATTTAGTAGAAATAATAGAAAAAATGTTAATTTAATAATAGTTAATTTAATACTTAATCTTTTATATTTTTTACAAATGCAATAATATAAAATGCATGTATAAAATATAACTGCATTTTTAAAAATAGAATAAGTTTATTTATTTTAGTTATAAATTATTCTCAGTATTATTTAATTTACAAAAGTATTTAAGGATTAAACTTTTTATGAAAATATTTATTAATATAAATAATAAATAATGAATATTTTGTTTCGCAAAATATTTCTAGTTACATATATTTAGTCGAAATTGTTCAAAAATTTAAACCTCACATTATGAAATATTTACTAATAAAGTAAATTAAGTACTGTGTTTGTAAATATAGAGAGAGACTCTCTACTCTGAACTTTATATCCTTCTAAGGTTGATAAAGATTGATAAAGAATCTAAGATGGTAGTTGATCAGTTGAATTATGGCTTCAGTGATTAAATCCTTATCCGACGGAAATACTAGGAAAAAACGGAAACGTATCAGAATGGTATTGTATTTCACAAATGAAGAAATTATTTGTTCAATGTTATTGAGTGAATAATCGATGGAAGACTTTTCACAGTTGTATTTATTACATTATTATTTTATGTTCATTAATATAAAAATTTGACTTTATCTCGTTGTATATTTGCACTTGAATATTTCAATATTGTGGATAATATTACATAGATTAATTAAAATAAAGCTTTTTATAGCTTTTTATAAAATAAAGCTGTATAAAATAACCAACATTTTTTTGCATCCAAAGATAATAAATTAAGATGTTGAATTGTTTATTGTTAATATTTAAAAAATTCAATTTAAGATTTATCTTGATAAAAAATTATGATTAAAAACTGTGATTCATTCCTATTTTATTTAATAAATAATCTATTTTTTATGTTGAATTATTTATTTTATAATTTAAAATGTAGTACTACATAATATAAACAATCATATTTGATTTGTAGGATTCAGAAGCTGAAAATCCAGATAGTAAGAAAAAAAAGATTTTGGATATCCAAGCGGAAATTAGAGATGTAACAGATATGAAAAATACAATATTGCAAAAGGAGGAAGATAAAAAAAAAAGAGAAGGAAAGAAGGATAAATGTAGAGAAAAAATAGAGGAAGAGGAAACTGAAGAGGAAATAGAGGAAGAAGAAAATGAAAAAGAAGAGGAACTAAAGAAAGGGGAAGTAAAAGAAGAGGAACTAGAGGAAGAAGAAAATGAAGAAGAGGAAGAAGAAAGTGAAGAAGAGGAAGAGGAAGAAGAAGAAGAGGAAGAAGAGGAAGAGGAAGAAGAAGAAGAAGAAGAAGAAGAAGAAGAAGAAGAAGAAGAAGAAGAGGAGGAGGAAGAAGAAGAGGAAGAAAAAGACACGGATTAATTGACATTAATTGGATTAAAAACTTAAAAAAAACATAAAGAAAAAGAAATAAAAGTAAAAGAAACCAGCTAAGAGTGAAAAGACTTTTAAAAGTAATTCTGTTTGTTCAAATGGATCAGTGTTTACCAATCTTTAATAAGTCCCTTTATTATAATGAAAATAATTATGATTATCTCATAATACATATGTATAAGAAAGCTTTAATATGAAGATGCATAAATTGTTGGTTAAGCACTGCCAAATACCTAAAATGTTATATGTATTACATTTTCAGTTTTTTTTTTAATCACTATATTTGACATTTTATAGAATTGTAAATTTATTATTATATCATAGGGGCCAAAAGAAAGAGAGGCAGTGCTGTCTGTGCCACAATGCAATGATGACATAGATACTTCGATCTATAATCTATTACATTATTACTTGTAGTTAGAAATTTACGATATTTGTTTTAAGAATGCCCAGTAGATAAAAATAACGGAAAGAGTTATGAATCTGCCCAATTGTAGTATATATATGTCAAATTCGGTGATTGGCAAGCACTGATACAACTTGCATAAAAGTTAAAAATCTCTTTTTTTGTACGATACAGATAGAGTTCATTCTATTTTGCCTTCATATACTAATCATTGTTTTATGAATGTTTAATTTTATATTGTAGGATTTTAAGTGACTTATTTTCAATTTTTACATTAAATTCGGTAAATGCTTTTTAATTTCTGTATTTATTGTGAAACAGAATGCTTTGTCATTTTTATGTTTCTGATTTTAATTTGTAAATTAAAATATATTTCTTTATATATACATACGTACATATATATATATATATATACATATTAGGTGTGAAAATTTATTTTATTTATTAAAAATCAATTTCATTAACAAATATATTTTATGGTGAGCACTAATAATTTATAAAAACAGTTTTTAAAAAGAAGGATATACTTTGTATTCTTAAATAATTTATAGTATCAGATATATAAGCTTAGAATTTTATTATCTTTAAATGCTTTTACATAAAAATCAATACAGTAAAATAATAAAAGAAGAAGACATATAAATGATTGAATAAAAAAATATGCAAATTTATTATAAATCATATAAAGGTATAGAATTCATCAATATTATAGACAGATATATATGTAATATCAATAACATTCTTGACGCTATAAACTATATTTTATATTGCATGAAAATGTTACTGTTTTCGTAATAATATTATATGTTAAAAGCATGAACAATGTTAAAATGACTTAATTAAACAAAGCAGGATATCCTTTAATATTCTTCAATCTCTCATATGTAAACTTATCGCATATTTTGGAATTCAACATTACTCAGCAACAACTGTTCATACTTAATTAGGTCCCATTTGGTTTATATATTCAAGTAAGCTCTCTTGTAAGTGGAAGTATTTATATGCAATGAGATGATGAGACTAATAATATTTATATTTATTAGAAAACGCTATGTAGGTAAATTTTAGTGACAAAGCAATCCATATGAACTATTTTGAGTGCAAATAAACTATTATATAACTTAAATACATAGTAGTCATTACTGATTTTTATTAAAAATTAAATTAGAGATATTTGTTCATATAGTAAAGCCATTAAATACAAGTGCTATTAATCATCTTTATGTAGTGATTAAATATTGTTATTAAAAAATGAATATGTAAGCTTAAAATATATTTAAAAATTTTATCGTATTATTGCTATTTGCATGTAAAATGTTATTATGTTTTATCACATGTGCAATAAAAGTTTCATATTTCTGTCATGCAAAACTGCCGATATATGGAAAAGAGAGAAGAAAATGTAAAGAGATTAAAATTAGAAAGAAAATGTATAATAAAATGGGATGCGTCTTTTTTTAAACTTCTGTCAGAGAGAAGCCTTAGAGAGGATATCTGGCTATCATTAGCGCACTAATATTTATTTTAGCCATATGGAAACAGTTTCGCAAAATAGATGTAGTACTATACCTAGGTAGTATATGGAAATTTTGATGATCACAAAAAAGATTCAACAAAACTAATTTCGCTTTAAAAAAGGAAGAATAAAATAAGAAGTTTTTCTTTTTTTAAGCGTCGCATAAAGGTAGAAATTTTACTACATTTTAATTTTACATTATAATTGTTATGCAATACTTTTATCAAGAAAAAGAGAGAATATAAAGATTATATTAAATTATATATAATTAAGATATATATATAAATTATGAATATATTTTTATATTTTCTAAATCATATATGTTCACTCGTAGATTAGATTATTTTATGCTCAAAGATCTCCTTTTACTTTATTAATGATTTGATTCTGTTAGGTTAGGTGGTTTTGATTTTACAGCTGCTTGAGCTGCTCCCATGGCTCCCCATACATGCATTCAAAAAATTCACCTGTTTCATCTTACTTTTCTTCTCATTTTACTTCTAATTTAATAGTAAATTTAATAGTAAAAAAAAACGATTCCACGTACATATAAAATATTTCAGTTTAAATTCTAAAATGTCCTTTTAACAAAATACAACATTAGCTGCAACATCGAGAAATTTTGTACATATAACCTATAAAAACATTTCTTTATATTATGCCAAATGTTATGTGATACTTATATTGACACTTGAGATATTTAAAAACAGATCAGTTTCATAAGCAACTTAAGTGATGCTCTATTCCTCATACTGCCGGACCGCGTTAAAAACAGAAGAGTACTTCGCATGTTCTTCCCTTCAAAGGTTTGATAAATGAGAATCCCACGTTTGTTTCGTAATGTCTTAATCGGCATCCCGATCGGGATTGCTTTTTGCGACACAGTCGGATATGTCGCGAGGGTGGAAGGAATCTCCATGCAACCTGCACTAAATCCAGACTTACGATATCCTGATTATGTGTTTCTGAATCGTTGGATCATCCGAAATCAAGATATACAGCGTGGTGATATAGTGTGCGTTGTATCTCCCAAGGTGCCAAATCAAACCCTTATCAAGAGAGTTGTGGGACTTGCTGGCGATATTATAGGCACGCATGGATACAAGCTCTGTACCGTCCAAGTATGGATATGATATGTAGAAGTAATTATTGGGTATATAACAATGAATAACAGTGTTTGGATTCCAAAAAATTACTGACAACAATACTAACTTAGTATTGTTATCCTTTAAATATTTGTAAATTAATTTCGATATGAATACAGGTACCAGAAGGACACTGCTGGTTGGAAGGAGATCACGTTGGACATTCTATGGACTCTAATACCTTTGGACCAATATCTCTAGGTTTGGTAACAGCAAAAGCTACTCATATAGTTTGGCCACCAAATCGATGGCAACAATTACATTCTACAAAATCCAATCATGAGAGCTGTTAGTTTTGTAAAGAGGTTGCAGTGGGAATTACCTGGTACTGTATGCAGGTAAAAATTTACCCTCTAACACTTTTAGAATGAATCTTACTCTGAAGAATGAAATCTCATCCTTAAAGATTGAACCATTTTTTTAAGACTAGCTCAATTTTTATTCTAAAGTGAGATTCCACTCCAAGAATTTAGAGAATAATCATTGCTATTTTAGCTTATAATAAAAATAGTTTACAATAGAAATTACTATGTGCAGACATGGCTTAACCATAGGAGATGTTGATAACGATGGTGATAATGAATTAGTTGTTGGTACTGCTGAAGGAGAACTTTATATCTTCAAGGTAAATATATTAATGACTACTTAAAATTATGCCTTTCAAAATTATTAATAATATTTGCTTTTATATAACAGGGATCAGAATTATGGCAGAAAATCACTGGCCTTGGTCTTATAACTAGCGTAGCAATTGGAGATATTTTTAATTACGGACGTAATGCACTAGTTGTTATCTGCGGCGATGGATGGACACATATATTTTACAGTCCCAGATCTGTTAATCCTAACAATTCTAACATACTTACAGGCCAACATAATAAAGATACAAATGAGCAAGACAATTTCAAAACAAATACTGGTAAGTCTGAGTTTTAGAAAGATATATATTATTTATAAAATAACAGGAGATTTAGGGAATTCTCATGAGATATGTATGTGCAGATACAGGAAATTCTCAAAATACAGAGCATATTGACAATACTAATGAAATTAATGAACTCTCTGGGAAAATGGAATGTGTACATGTACAAAGAATCCCAACTAATACAAAAATAGTGCTGATAGCTGACGTCGACAAAGATGGTGCTAATGAGATGATTCTTGGTCTGACGGACCGTGTTGTGAGATCTTACAGATGGTCAAGTAATGCTGACTTGGAAACAGGAAAATTAGTTGGCTTAAATAAATGGGAATGCACTAATCAAATAGGAACGGTTACGTTACAAGTATGTTGTATTGAAATAAAATCCCTTCTTGCAAGCTAAAGTAATAAAGTTATATTCTATTAAAATATAGATTCCATTATTTTATTATATAATTATTATTTGTTTTTCTCTATATTGTTATATTGTTATCTGGTTAGGCATTTATAACAGTGGTTATGCTGAAGCTTAATTATCATTTGCATATTCCTATATTATCTCTTGTAACTTTATAAACTTATTCTATGTCATAAAATTAAATTAAATTATATATTATCTATCAATATAATATAAATTGTTTGTGTAAATAGATAACAAAAATTTTAGCATACTGGTGATGGTACGCCAACTCTATTGGTTGCACAACCTGGTGGCACATTCATGCGAATTAAGTGCAATCCTGAAGATTGTCAATCAAAGAAAAGTTCCTGCGAAGCTGTGGATTATCAGACATTAGGAATATCTAGGATGCGCAATCAAAATATTTCGACGGAGATTATTGGAGATTTAGAACCAGGAATAACGCCATTTATTTCCACCATTGAATCTAAAATGTCTAGTTACGTACCTAAAGATAAATTGCCAAAGCATTTCACAGACGATAGCCAACTAGACAGAAAAACCTTCAAACCTGCATCGCTCGAGTTCAAAAGAAACTA